TCCCATTTCAGACAAGCGGCTGTCCGGTCTCTCCTTAAAAACTTCCAGTGATGAAACACCCCCAACATCTGAAGGCAAAGCTGTTCCACTGGTTAATTGTCCTCACTATTAAGAAGTTCCTCCACAATCCCAGGTTGCTTCTCTCTCCTTGATTAGTTTCCACCCGTTGGTTCTTGTCCTGCCTTCAGGTGCTTAGGAGAATAGCCTGGCCCACTTTTCTTTCTGGCAGCCCCTCAAATAACAATAGCACTTAGACTTATACACCGCTTCATAGTGCTTTACAGCCCTCTCTAAGCGGGTTACAGAGTCAGCCTCTTGCCCCCAACAATCTGGGTCCTCATTTTACCCACCTCGGAAGGATGGAAGGCTGAGTCAACCTTGAGCCTGGTGGGATTTGAACAGCCGATAGCCAGCAGAAGCGGCCTGCAGTACAGCACTCTAACCACTGCACCACAGAGGCTCTTAATATTATTGGAACACTGCTATCATGTCACCCCTAGTCCTTCTTTTTCATTAGACTAGCCATACCCAGTTCTTGCAACCGTTCTTCCCATGTTTTAGCCTCCAGGCCTTTAATCATCTTAATTGGCATTTTTTCCCAAAGTCTCAACATCTTTGTTGTAATGTGGTGACCAAAACTGGATGCAGTATTTCCAGGTGTGGTCCTATCAAGGTTTTATAAAATGGCACTAATACTTCACGTGAGTTTTACCAGATACTACCTCACCTGTTCTGCTGGTCCTATCCTTTGATATGAATTATTTATTCATTACGTTTTTATCCTGCTTTTCCCCTGAGGGCTTCAAGATGGAAGGATCCCATTAATTTGAAACACTGCAACAGCCCTGGACATAGATTAGTCCGAGAGACACTCAATGGCTCAAATTCAACCACCCAAATTTCATTCCTAGCCAACCCCTTAACACCATACATCAGGGGTCCCCAAACTCGGCAACTTTAAGACTTGTGGACTTCAACTCCCAGAATTCTCCAGCCAGCTGGAGAATTCTGGAAGTTGAAGTCCACAAGTCTTAAAGTTGCCAAGTTTGGAGACCTCTGCCATACATTAATATCATTCGAGTTAAAAGCTTAATAATAATATTACAATTCTCATTGCCTGCCATGCCCATGTTTGCACGTTCCTGTTACATTAGCACCTTGTCTGTTATAGGTAATTATTACAAAATGTTGTGCACACTTGATAGCATTTGATGCACTCCAAAAGTTCATGACTTCTGTTTCTTCTCCCAGTTGAATACACAAGACAAACGCTTCCATTATTGGAAACTCCAGACATATAGAGAAAGTATCCTATTAAACCAAGGGTGTCTAGCCTTGGCAACTTTAAGACTGGTGGACTTCAACTCCCCAAACTCCCCAACCATGCTGACTGGATGGGGAATTCTGGGAGTTTGAAGTTCACAGGTCTTAAGGTTGCCAAAGTTGGACATCCCTATATTAGACAAAAACATCAGAATGTACAAATGAACCTAAAGCAGATCCTCTTGAGCCTTCCAAGAGCCCAGAACCCCAACAGATGGAATTCAAGGTTGACCTCCACCAAGTGATCCTTTGTGGCTCTAACACTTCCACATTCTCCATTAGTCAGTGAATATTCTTGGTTAATGGAGGACTCCTTTGGCCATCAACCGTGTTGGTTGTAGAAGTGACCTCCAAGATACAAAGCAAAGCTGGACTGACACTGGAGAACTTATCAAATTATATGCAGCACTTTAGTGGTGTTAGTTTCCAAAAAAAGGTCACAGCTCAATAGGCACATGACAAAGAGCACAACACGAGGTCTGCTGTGTTTAGAAGACAGGCTAGACACACCACTCATAAGTGTGGGAGGTGAAGGTTTCAGTCTCTAGTCTCGTTGTTTTTGATCCAGCTGTTATAAGCTGTCGGGTGTTTTTTTTTTCAATTTTCAGTTGAGCTTTTGAAAGATCCATCCTTATTTCCTGCATTTGTGATGTAGCTTTTTTTTTAAAGACACTGCTATTTTTCTGGCCTACACTCTTCCATTGTTCTTTAATTGCTTTGTCTATTTTCCGGTCAACTTGACAAGTGAACCTTTCTGAACTCTTGATGTAGTAGTCCATTTCAGCATTGCTTCTAGTTAATTTCATGGAGAAATTTTCCTGATAAAAATCTATCTATCTATGGGGTCACAAGGAATAGATTGTGTGTGTGTGTGTGTGTGTCTGTGTCTGTGTGTGTGTCTGTGTGTCTCTGTGTGTGTAGAGAGAGGGAGGGAGGGAGGGAGAGAGAGAGATGATGGATGGATGGATGGATGGATGGATAGGTTAGTGTTAGGGTACATAATCATCAGTATACACATAATCAATCTAGTCAATTTCACAGTACAACAAGCAACTTCCTTCTTTGGCCTTCTCTGCTCAAAGAGAACTTGCATGCTTTCCCTAGTGGCGCTCAGAAGCAAAGAGAAAATAGGATTAGGGTCTACTACCACAACAGAACTACAATTTTGATCGCTAAGCAAGGTGGTTTCATGCCTAAGGGGTGCCTAGAACTCAGTCGCCTGGTTTCTAGGCCAGCCATTACTTCACCATTACTGTGGATTTCACCTCCTTTTTATTTTGTTTCTTTCCCTATGAAAAGTAGGGAATATTCACATGTTCTTAATTAAGGACAAGCATCACGCATCGTCCATGAGAAAGTCTCCAAGGTAACTATTCTCTCCTGCCAAAGTGAATGAGGATGACTAGAGGGGGGAAATGGAGGGTTTCCCTGCCCTACAAGCATTTGATTTCCTCTAAGTAAATCTGTTTTAGGTTACTAAGCCCAAAAAGTAATCCTGGATCAAAACTAGCTCTGAACACAAGTTTGGCAACCCAGATGCCTTTTTCTTCTCTCTAGAGTTGCCAATTTTTGAACTGGTCCCTGTAGAAAATTGTTATCCAACATGAATTTAATCCATCCTTATCCAATCCAGCCTTTGACTGCTTATTGTACCCTATGACTATTATTAAGTGTTGTACCTTATGATTTTTTACAAATGTATTTTTTCTTTTATGTACACTATGAGTATTTGCACCAAGACAAATTCCTTGTGTGTCCAATCACACTTGGCCAATAAAGAATTCTATTCTGTTCTATTCTATTCTATTCTATTCTATTCTATTCTATTCTATTCTATTCTATTCTATTTATTCTATTCTATTCTACTCTACTCTACTCTACTCTACTCTACTCAACTCAACTCAACTCAACTCTACTCTATTCTTTAAGTTGTGTGGATACTACATCTCCCAGAACTCACAGCCAGAAAGGCCAAGAACTTCAGGAATTGTAATCCCAATATGTATTGAAGGACACCAAATTAAGGAAGACCAGATTAATCTAAGTTAGCTCAGGTTAGAGATGTAACTTTAATGTCCTGATGTGGGACATCAATATTGGATGTAATGAAGTAGATTTTCTCTCTTTAAGGACACTTTCATGCATCTGCCACTTTCACTTCCCAAATCCTCATCATCATTTGCAGAATTCCCTGCAATTATCCTTGAAAAGTTGAGACTTCTACAATAGTCAGTCAGGTTCCCAAAGAGGAACACCTAAATGAGCATTGAGGTAGCACCCCGTCTTCTCCTTTTATGGGCTTCGTTTATTTCTCCAGGGACAGGACACATTCCTGTTAGAAAAACAGCATTCATAGCAAATCCTTGTGTGCCACATCTGAGGAAGAAAGAATCTGTTCAGGTGCCTTGGGAACAGCAACGGTTGCAATATTGGTTCAGGAGAGGTGCAAAAATATCTGTGGAATAGTGTCCACAGAAGCATACTTGCCAATTATTGTCCAGGTTGTTAGATTTAATTATGAGAGCTATAAACAGCTGGGTTCCTGTCTATCTAAGGGACTCTTAGTCACGTTCCAATTTGTGCCATAGCAAGAACTTCAGAAGCTATAACATACTGGCTTCGGTGAAACTAACCCCCAGAATTGCTGGTTGTTTCGTTGGTTGGTTGGTTGGTTGGTTGGTTGGTTGATTGGTTGGTTGGTTGGTTGGTTGGTTGGTAGATTGATTGGCTGGATTGGAGAGAAGTCCAAATCTCCATATAGCCCAGAAACTCATTGGATTTAGTGTTCACTAACTATCCTGTTCAATTTCATAGGGCAGTTGCAGTGGTGGGATTCAAATTGTTTTATTACTGGTTCTGTGGGTGTGGCTTAGTGGGTGTGGCAGGGGAAGGTTACTGCAAAATCCCATTCCCTTCCCACTCCACTACCCTGCTTTCCAGCTCCGTTCTCCTGTGCAGGGCAACAACAGAAAATCCAGCCAATCCGCTGGGACTCGGGAGACAGAGAATAGATGGAGGTGGGGCTAGTCAGAGGTGAGATTTGCTGGTTCTCCTAACTACTCAAAATTGCCACTACTGGTTCTCCAGAACTGGTCAGAGCCTGCTGAATACCACCTCTGGGTAGTTGTGAGGAGACAAGGAGAAACCACTTTCTGTATGTCCTTCAGGTACTTAGATGGAAGGTTGAACAGAAGGAAATATATCTGGCCCCAAAATCCCATTTCACTACTTCCAAATTTGCTGCTATCTTTCTACACTGCTACCAAGGATCATTGGGGAAAGTGATATCTTCCTTCACCATCCAGCCTCAGTTGTGGACATGAATACACAATGAGCAAGACGCACTGAAAGGAGTGATTCCGCAGTTAGAACGGACAATGAAGGAAGAAGTTAAGAACTGGATATTCTGCGCCTCAAACAATTCTCACCTTCTAAAATCAATCTACCGATCTTATCTTACCTATTTGCATGCTCATCTCTGAAATATCTATAATTTGGTATTCTAATCCAGTCTCCAAGGAGATTTGATTTTGATTACAACCCTATCTGGGTTTAGACCAATCTGGAGATTAGCGGAACCATCCCAAGCAATTTAAACTAGAAACCAAGGGTTAGGTTTGGGGAGAACAGCAGCAATGGGGGTGAGGAGAGAAACAACAGTGATGGGGTGGACTCACGGATACAAGCTCACGGTCTGCTGCCTCTTCTGACCAGGCCTGGTATGGCTCAATTTAGGCTCTTGGGCCATGTTTATATCTAGAGGAAAAGAAAAAAAATTGGCAACTAAAGAGAAAGAGTAGAGCCAAACTAGAGCACAAGCAGGAGAGGACAGATATGGCAAAAGAAATAGCACTTAGATTTATGTACCACTTCACAGTGCTTTACAGCCCCCTCTAAATGGTTTACAACAGGGGTGTCCAACCTTGGCAACTTTAAGACTTGTGGACTTCAACTCCCAGAATTCCTCAGCCAGCAATGCTGGCTGAGGAATTCTGGGAGTTGAAGTCCACAAGTCTTAAAGTTGCCAAGGTTGGACACCCCTGGTTTACAGAGTCAGCCTATGGCCCCCAACATTCTGGGTCCTCCTTTTACCGACCTCGGAAGGATGGAAAGCTGAATCAACCTCGAGCCGGTCAGGATCGAACTGCTGGCAGTCGGCAGAATTAACCTGCAATACTGCATTCTAGCCACTGCGCCACCACGGCTCATGACCCTTTTGTCACCCGGATGAAGAAGAAAGTTGACACTAACATTTAGAAGGAAACAAGGCATGGACATCTTTTTCCACCTATCTATGCTATTTATCAGCTTTGAAATTGTCTGAAGACAGAATTAGACTCTTCACTCAAGGGGACTGGTAGCATGGATGCAATTTTAAGCACCATTTAACCTCCTGGGGAGGGCATAGATGCTCTTTCTGGAAAGAAAAAAGAAAAAAAAGACCAGCTTGCTTCTTTCCCATCTAGCTAGCAAAGGATGAGTCAAGATTATTATTTTTTTCTGATACAGAATTATTGTTTTCGGTTTGGTGGAGAGAGAAAAGAGCCAGGTTTCTTCAGCTGCACTAAAAATCCAAAATGCATTTCAAAGATGAAGTACTTCCTTAACTAGGAACTGTAATTTGGGGCTCCTTCCTATACTTACCTCGAGCAATGAGAATCCTATAGAAATCAATAGGACTTGCGTCTTAGAGATGAGCATTCGTGGGAACGTGGGAAGACTGAATACCTGAGACAAAGTTTGTCTTTCCAAAATCTACTTCTATCTTTTGTTTTTGTCCATTCAGATGGATTCCCACCCACCTCCAGCCAATAATGGCACCCCTAGAATATATTTTTCTGCTTGGAACATTCTCAAGATACACCCATCGACTGCTTCCTGGGGTGCTATCAAGCTCTAGCTACCATCACTTCAGAAAAGGGTTCTCTGCTTTTTTTTTTTTAGCTGTGGGAAGAGGATTTCACAGTCGACAATTACAAACTACAGTCAGATCCCTTTTATATCAAGGAAATTGCTCTAACCATAGGTAGAATCCTAATCTGTTAAACTATTCGTGCCCCCAGGCCAAAGAGAGATGGCTTTCTTGTCTTCGTCCGTTGTTTTGGACGAAGCTACTGTGCCCAAATGTGTTTTTCCGTTCACCAGATACACTTTCCCATGGCTTGCTGATCCAGCCCAATCCTCCCTCTCTATAATGGTCACACATGAACTAGATCACCAAGCTGGATCCAACGGCCTCTTAGCTAAAATATACTTTGCCACTCAAACCAAGCCACGGACAAAGGCAGAACTTCAATATATAATGGAGTGCTAGACAGAAGCTTGAGAGTAAGAAGGCTTAATTTCCCCAAACCACACACACTCATTCACACCCTCGTGCCCATACATGCCTTGGTTGCAAAGACGCGGATTGCTTTCTGACTACGATTCAGTAGGTCATGTGTATTGCCTTAGATGCCTTAACAACCTTCCCTGGCAAGATCTATCGAGCAAGAGCTACCGTGTCCATTTTCATGGCCTCTTTGATCTAACTTTCTTTCAAACCAAAGAGCTGGTTATATAGAGAAGGAAACGGAAGGAAGGATGAGCAAATGGCATGCTTTGTTTCCAAGCAAAAATAGAATAGAATAGAATAGAATAGAATAGAATAGAATAGAATAGAATAGAATAGAATAGAATAGAATAGAATATGGACAAAAGAATAGAATATGGACAAAAGAATAGAATAGAACAGAACAGAACAGAACAGAACAGAATAATAGAGTAGAATAAAGAATAGAATAGAAGAATAGAATAGAATAGAATAGAATAGAATAGAATAGAATAGGGAAGGAAGGAGAATAGAATGGAATGGAATGGAATGGAATGGAATAGAATAGAATAGAATAGA